GAAGATCTACTTGCAAGATATTGCTGGAGCACAGGTCAGAGACCACGGAACAATTCAGAGGTTATTTCTCTAATCTTGAGAACAATGATTTCAACAAGTTTGGGGTTGGAAAAGGTGATGAGAAGCATCACATTATGGATACATGTAAAAGTAGAATTAGCAGGATTTTCTGATGAATGTGATGTGAGATGTGAGAGAAGTCCAGAATGACTCCAAGATTTACAGTCTGTCATCATTTGAAATAACAGCCTCCTGATCCTGAGATGAGAAGACGGTCCTGGATTATCAGGCCAGGCCCAATGTAAACAGAAGGGGACACAGGAGGAATCAGAGAGAGGAAGAAGGACATGCAGTGACAGAAGCAGAGGGAGCCAATATCATGTAATGTGGGGCCAAGAGTCAAGGAACAAAAGAACCTATAAAAGCTGGAAAAAGAGAAGGAATGGACAAGGCTCTAATTTATGCTGTTTTAAGCCACAAAATTTGACATAGTTTGATACAGAAGCAATAGGAAACTAATGTATAATTTAAGCATCTGAAAGGATTGACAGGGGTGGGCAAACATGGGAGGAAGTAAGTTTAGACCTTTATGTGGAAATGAGGAGGTCTGAATTTGAACACGATATGTTTGAGACAACATTGGGATATCAAGAAGGAGATATCAAGCTATCTAGATAGACACATAAATTCACAATAAAAGAGAATGTTCCTTGCTGGAGATATCTACTTGCAAGTAATTATAATGTACAGTTATAATTTAACCCATGAATCTGAGGAACATTATCTAGACAATAACTACAGTAGGAAAAAATAAAATAAAAATTCTAAAACCAGAAGTTGTTCAAATTTTAAAGATAGAAAACTCAAGATCATTCAGAAAATCAGTCGCCATAGAAGTAAGGAAAGAACTGAAAGATTCGTGTTTTGAAGGCCAGAGGGAGAAAGGATTTCAAGGAAAAGTGAGTAATTAGGTGTCAAGTGCTGCCGATAGACTAAAGAGAGGACTCAAGGTTTACCATTAAATTTAGCAACATGGTACTCCCTGATAACTTCGATGAGTGCTAAAACTGTTGAACTTTAATAAGAGTTGCTTGGGTGGAGGTGATATGGAGTGTGCTCGAGAGATAATAGCTGAAAAGAATGGAAGCATTAATAAAAAAAATATATAGAACGGAATCTTGTTGACAAGCCAAGGAAGAGCCTCAGGAGAGAATATGAGCAATTCACATGTTATTAGGAGTTCTATGAGCCTACACTAGTAGAATGTCCACATATTTGCACAAAATAGATGTTCAATGAAATGTTGGTAGTATTGATCTAAAAATATTTACATAATCAAATGAATTGTGCTAGTGTGAAGTCTGTTTTTACAAAAGAAGAAACTAATTTCTATTTAAATGAACTAAATTTTCTAGGTGTATTTATTATCTATCTCACTCTCCAGTCTTCCTTACAATAGGAATGAAATAGCACAATCAAAAAAATTGCTGTTCATGTGAGACGGAGGACTTGGAGAACCTTCTCTGTCAGTTATTAATATTGTGGTTTTAAAAACTTAATTATGATCTCAGCTTTAATTAGTTCTGAGCTAATGATGTACCCCCTACACAAGGTTGCTGAAAGGATTAAATAAGATCCTGTATGTGAAAAAAATAATTGAAACTGTATGACATTTTGAAAAGGATACCATAAAACTGGGACAAATCTCTTTCTCAGTAGGAGAAATAATTTCAGAGAAAAATGAATCTGGAGTATGATTTTCATTAAATACTGACTGCTGGCAGACAGATAAAGAAAGTGATTCAAATATAGAAGACATCATGAAAGAAACTATTGGACATACTAGCAAAAACTGTATCTATGTATGAGCACCAAAAGTAATGTGCAAAAGTAACACAGAAAGGCATGGTACATCAGACCTAGGTCTTTAGTTAAAATGTTTGAGACTCTCAGAAATAGTGAGCTCTGGAGAGACACAGTTGTTGTGATGCAGACATCATAGAATACCTAGAATATTAGGTAATAATGGATTAAAAAGTAACAGAGAGTAGTGGTATATACATTAGAAACCAGGGTGCATGTTAGATGTTAATAAATTCATAGATGTTAGGGGTATATTAGAGATTTGGTTCATCTGTCAATCAAGGAGATAATTTTTTAAAAAATTCTCATTAGAAAATAGGATTTATTTGACTTTCTTAGTTAGTATCTTTCCTTTAATGATGTTATTTCTTTTGAGCTTTCAGCCAGGTGGAAACCAAAAAATGAATAACTTCTCTGTTCATTTGACTCCTAAGGGAAAATTTTAATAAAAGTGAATAATTAAAAAAAAATAAAATAAAATTTAAGTGTATCCACAATCAGAAAAAAAAAATGTTGGGATCTAGACAAATGTATCTAGACAAATCTTTCCGAGAAAGATTCAAGTCAGAGAGTGGAGAAAATGAAGTGGATAGGTCAAGGCCTATTAAGTAAGTTGGATATTTTTTATTAATGTCTTGTTTTAAATTATGGAATAGTTGTTTGCAAAAGTAAGTTTTTAAAAAAAGTTTTAACATACCGTTTTTAAACCGTTTGGGCATAGACAATGAGTGGAATAGCTGGGTCAAATGGTGGTTCCATTTCAAGTTTTCTAAGGAATCTCCATATTGCTTTCCAGATTGACTGTACCAATTGCAGTCTCACCAGCAATGTATGAGTGTGCCTTTCCCCCACATCCTCACCAACACGTATTGTTGTTTGTATTCTTGATAACTACCATTCTGATTAGAGTTGAGATGAAATCTTAGAGCAGTTTTGATTTGCATTTCTCTAATTGCTTGAGATGTTGAACATTTTTCCTTATATTTATTGATCAATTGTATATCACCTTCTGAGAAGTGTCTGTTCAGCTCCTTAGCCCATTTATTGATTGGGTTGTTTAGGTTTTTTGGTATTAAGTTTTTTGAGTTCTTTATATATCCTGGAGATTAGTGCTCTATCTGGCGTGCATATGGCAAAAATTTGCTCCCAAATTTATTCCTCATTGATTGTTTCTTTTGCTGAGAAGAAGCTTTTTAGTTTGAATCCATCCCATTTATTGATTCTTGATTTTATTTCTTGTGCTTTAAAATTCTTATCAAGGAATTTGTGGCTTAATCTAACATGATGAAGATTTGGGCCTACTTTTTATTCTATTAGGCATAGGGTCTCTGGTTTAATTCCTAGGTCTTTGATCCACTTTAAGATGATAGGGGTTTAGTTTCATTTTGTTGCATATGGATTTCCAGTTTTCCCGGCACCATTTGTTGAAGAGGCTATCTTTTCTCCAATGTATGGTTTTGGTGACTTTGTCTAGTATGAGATAACTGTATTTATAGGGTTTGTCTCTGTGTCTTCTCTTATGTACCATCAGTCTACATGTTTGTTTTGGTGCCAATATCATGCTATTTTTGTTTCTATATAACTTTGTAGTATAGTTTAAAGTCTGGTGTTATTATGCCTCCTGCTTCACTCTTCTTGCTAAGGATTGCTTTGGCTATTCTGGGTCTCTTATTTTTCCAAATGAGTTTCATGATTGCTTTTTCTATACCTATAAGGAATGACATTGGGATTTTAATTGGAATAACATTGAATCTGTATAGTGCTTTGGTAGTATGGCCATTTTGACAATATAAATTCTGCCTGTCTAGGAGCATGGGAGATATTTCCATTTTCTAACGTCTTCTTCAATTTCTTTCTTTAGTGTTCTATAGTTTTCATTGTAGAGGTCTTTTACCTCTTTTGTTAAATTGATTCCCAATTGAAACAGTTGAAAGCAAGAGAATCAGAGAAGAAATGAGACATATTCTTTGAATATGCTTGGTTGATGGGATGAATAAGTTAAGAATGTTCAACAGATCCCAAAGAGCTCAGTGAAAACTGAAAGACCAGAGAAATGTGATTTTGCTATACCTTTACCTATAGTTCTCATCTCATACACAGCTGGGATGGTGCATGTGGGAATCATATTGGCTTGAAGTGTCAGCATATCCTTGTTAGAATTATTGATTTATCCCTAAACTATGCAAACACAGGGGGGATCCTAAGAAAAATGCACTAAAAAATAAGTCAATACTGACCTACTGCAGTGGGGAAGTATTTCACAATATGACTGTAAATAACATAATTGACTACTAAAACAAACAAACAAGAAACATTCCTTGGAAGAAAACAAACAAATCCAGAATGTTTATAGTATATTATCTATCATGCAAAAATTATCAGCCAAATTGTTATTCATGAACTAGACAAATAAATAGGAATGTGATCCATAACCTGGAAAAAAAATTTAGAAACATTCAATCACAATTGACTTCAGGTGGATCTGTATGTTAGATTTAGAGTTGTCAAAGTATGTATTAAGTATGTATTATTCATTTAATTTCAAAAAAAAAATAAACGAATTCATGTTCAAATAACCAAAGGAAATATGACTCAATGGAGAAATGAAAATTTTAGAAGGAAAATTTAAATTTAAATTCTAGAACCCAAAATTGTAATAGCTAAAATTAAAATCTCTGCTGTTTAGTAGATTTGAAATGTATGAGATAGTGGAAGAAAGAATTAGTAAGCTTAGAGATAAAGCAGCAGAAAATTTAAAATACAACGAATGGGTAAAGAAATAATTGACACCCTCCCCCCGCCCCCATTTGGTGATTTTGTGACACAATAGCAAACATCACAATATGTGAGATTAAGATTTCCAGGAGAAGAAAAGTAAGTTAGAAAAATATTTAAAGTAACAGTGCTCCAAACTTTCAGAATTTGGTGGGAAAATTAACCTACAGATCCTACAACCTCAATGAACCCCAAATATTATAAACACAAAAGAACCACAATTGGATACATCAGTATATTGAAAGGCAAAAGCAGAGAGAAGTGTTCAAAATATGCTTCATATACATCTTGATGATACAATAAATGGCCAATTTCGCATTAGAAACAACAGAGGTAAAAAACACATTGAAATAATAGTAACAGTACTTACCTGGCAGGGGAGACACCACAATCACAAAGGTGGTTTTCCCAGGTCTAGGCTTATTCGTTGTACTCTGGAAGTGCTGACCCCTTCAATTTCCCCAAATGTGGGAAACTCTACTGCATAATTTGTGGTAGTGGAGGGACTGTGTTCCTGCCTGCTGGAGGAATAAAATAGCTACCAAATAAGAATTTAAGGTCTACAGAAACAATTTTTGATGGATGAATGTTAAAAACTTTTCAATTTAAAAATATTGAAAGAATTTAATGCTAAGAAGTATAGTCTAAGAAATTAACAACAACAAAAAAAAAGCCCCATGTGGTGCCACAGGCCTATAATCCCAGCAGCTCTGAAGGATGAAGCAGGAAGATTGCAAGTTTAAAACCAGCCTCAGATGAATTTCTTGATTGCTTTGTCTATTTCTAGGAGGAATGTCATTGGAATTTTGATCTGAATTGCATTAAATCTGTATAGTGCTTTTGGAAGTATGCCCATGTTGATATAAATATTAATTCTGCCTATCCAAGAGCAAGATAGATCTTTCCATCTTCTAAGATCTTCTTTGATTTTTTTTCTTTAGATTTCTGTAATTTTCATTATGTAGATCTTTCACCTCTTTTATTGATTCCCAGGGTTTTTTTCTTTTCTTTTTCTTTCTTTCTTTCTTTCTTTTTTTTTTTTTTTTTTTGGAGGCTATTGAGAATGGTGTAGTTTTCCTTATTTCCCTTTCTGAGAATTTGTCACTGATATTTCAAAATGCATTTGATTTATGGGTGTTGATTTTATATCCTGATACTTTGATGAATTCATTTACTAGTTCTGGAAGTTTTTTGGTGGAACGTTTTAGGGATGTCCAGGTATAGAACCATATGATCAGCAAATAGTGCCAATTTTAGTTCTTCTTTTACTATGTGTACCCCTTTAATTTCTTTTGTCTGTGTAAATGCTCTGGCCAGTGTTTCAAGAACTATGTTAATTAGAAGTGGCCAAGGACCTGAAGAGATACTTCTCAGAATATGATGTACAATAAATCAACAAATATATGAAAAAATGTTCATCATCACTAGCAATTAGAGAAATGCAATTCAAAACCACTCTAAGATTTCATCTCACTCCAGTCAGAATGGCAGCTATCATGCATACAAACAACAATAAATGTTGGYGAGGATGTGGGGAAAGAGGTACACTCATAAAATGCTGGTGGACCTGCAAATTGGTGCAGCCACTATGGAAAGCAGTATGGAGATTTCTTGGAAAATGGGAATGGAACCACCATTTGACCCAGCTATCCCTCTCCTCGGTCTATACCAAAGGAATTAAAAACAGCATACTGCAGGGACACAGCCACACCAATGTTTATAGCAGCACAATTCACAATAGCTAAACTGTGGAACCAACCTAAATGCCCTTCAATAGATAAATGGATTAAAAAATGTGGCATATATACAAAATGGAATATTACTCAGCAATAAAAGAGAATAAAATCATGGCATTTTCAGGTAAATGGATGGAGTTAGAGAAGGTAATGCTAAGTGAAGTTAGCCAATCTCAAAAAAACAAATGCCAAATGTTTTCTTTGATATAAGGAAGCTGATTCATAGTGGGATAGGAAGAGGGAGCATGGGAGGAATAGATGAACTCTAATAGCGCAGAGGGGTGGGAGGGGGAGGGAGGGGGCATGGGGTTGTTAATGATGGTGGAATGTGATGATCATTATTTTCCAAAGTACATATGTGAAGACATACATTTGTGTGAGAATACTATCTATACAACCAGAGATATGAAAAATTAAGCTCTATATATGTAATAAGAGTTGTAATGCATTCTGCTGCTATATATAAATAATAAATAAATAAATAAATAAATAAATAAATAAATAAATAAATAAATAAATAAAAGTTAGGGGGAAAATAAAAGCAGCCTTAGCAAAAGAGAACCACTAAGCAACTCAGTGAGACCCTGTCTTTAAATAAAATACAAAACAGGGCTGGGGATGTGGCTCAGTGGTCCAGTGCCCCTTAGTTCAATCCCCATACCAAAAAAAAAAAAAAAAAAAATTCAAAAAGAATTCTTTCAGTTTGAAAGAAAAGTGTATACAGTTATAATTCAAATCCACAGAAAAGGAGGAAGAGGAATAGGGATACTAACATAATGTAAATAAATGCAAGATAAATAAAAGGTTTGTATTATAATATTCTTAATTCCTTTTAAAAATCTATAATTTTTGAATAAAAAAATCATAACACCTCATTGTTGAGTTTATAACATATAGATGTAATTTATGTGTGTGTGTGTATCTTTTCATGTATCATTGCTAGCATAAAGGTCACAGGATATGCTGTATCATTTCTATATTTTACCAAATGCAAGTCAGCATAAATAAAATAGTGTGAAAAGCCAGAGATGCATACTTTAGTTCCTAAATTAAATGTAATAATAATGCAAAGAAAGTAATTGTGAAAATAACTGTGTGTCTGGCTATATTTTGTCAAAGCTCACTTTCTTACAATTGATTTTGTTGTCTGTAAATTACTTCAAAGAAAATTTTTTTTAAAAGAAAAACAAGCTTTCCCAGACATTTTCTACAAACTAGAAGGTCTTATTTGAATAAAAACAATCACAGCAACAGCTCAGAATTGCCTAAACTCTAGGAAGATTTAGAAAGCTGTGATAGTTCATCAAATTCATAAGATAAAAAAGAAACATTTTTTCCTTCATACTGACCCATACAAACAGCAGGTTGAAGAAAGAGCATTTTTAAAAAATAATGTTGAAATTTGAGAATCTATTCTAGGCCAATAAAATGTAGCTTTAATTTAACTTAATACCAATATTTCATAGAACTCCTCTTACTTATCAAACACACAATTTATGTAAGGTACGATTGCAAAAAAAAAAAAATTGACAAAAGGCATCGAAGAGAATGACAAGGTTAATACCTGAACCTCTGCAATGTCACTTAAGATTTTTATATGAAACTACAGCTTTCACGTGTAAATCTAAATTTGGCAACCAAGATAAACTAAATAATTTAGTAAATGTGATGCTTTTTAAACCAGCATTTCCCAAAAGTAGCACCCCTGGCTTTGTTACAAGAAATYACCAAATATCAAGCTCTTTCCAGGGGTGCATCTTTCCTCAAATCAGTAGGTATTCATAGAACAGATTTTTTTTTTTCACAGATATTTTATTGTTTTTCGACTTTCATCAGGGTTGAGTTGCCATGGCAATAAAGTAGGCTATCTTGTTGGATTTCACCTTTGCTGTCTTGCTTCATATGGTTCTCTCTCCTCAGAGCAAACATGGTGGATGCCGCACACATACAGATGTYTGATTTTGTGTTTCCTCCTTGAGTGTGCTTGGCAGCTAGTCTCCTGGGACAGCTGAAGCAGCACTTCACAAACTGGCATTCATCCTTCTCTCTAATGGCCACCATCGTATGTCTCACTTCTCTTGTGATCTCTCTTTTAAGAAGAACAGCTCCTCTTGAAAGATTTCTTTTTCCCATTAAAAACAGAGGTCTTTTTAACATTTTAATTAACTCAGTTGTCAGATCAGTTCTAAATACATCCCTAAAGTTACCCATCCTTGAGGTATAAAAGAAAAAAAAATCAGAAGAGCATATAGATTCATCACAAACACAGGTAAAGAGATTGATTTAGTGTACAAACACTAACTTCAGTCTCTTCTTGCTAATACAGTTACCAATTTTTTAACTCTAAATGTAAAACAAGATCCCTGAAAAAGGATGCCTTCCTATTTGAACTAAGAAATTATTATGCATTAATATTTTTAAAAGGATAAACAAACACATAGGTAAAGTATACATACACACTCACACACAATCACATCAGCATCATCATATATTGTTGAATTACAACCACAAAAAAAGTCTCCTGGGACAAAACCAGAATAAAACCTTGTGCTTATTAACAATAGGGAGTCCTTCCTCACCATTACCATAGTCTTTTCTCTGACATTTCTGATTTCCTAAATCAAATTCTAACATATCTGTTTGCATCTGATAGTCAGTTTAGTCTCCAGTAAGCATTTATTCATTAGGGTTTTATTTGGTATGGAATTGTTTTTAAAGAAAATTTCTCAGTCTTATTACTGACAGTTAAAAATGAGATTTTTGTACATCATAATACAGATTTCAAAAGAAACTGAATCAGATGCATGCATCAAAACAACATTTGCAAGGAAAAAACTATGCCATGTTTTTAAAAACTATTTCCTAATACTATTTTCTAATTATATTTGATTATGTGGCTATAGTCAGCATTGCCTTGATAATTCTGACCTCATTACTGTGGGTCTAACATATAATAGGCTCTTCTCTAAAATGTATGACTTCTTTTATTTAGGTAGTCATTATTCATTCATCCAAATGCACAGAATACCCTTTCTTTGTTTTCTACGTAAGAAATATTGTCAATTGTGGGACTAGAGTGCTTAGTTTGTGATGATGGGTATTTTTTTTTTCTGTCTACTGTGATTACTCTAACCTATTTTGCAAAATCACTCCACTTACTTCTGTGTTTCTGAAGCATCTTTCCATTATGTTACCTATGTAAAACTACAGTAATTGTCCAATGACCAATTGGACAGATACCCTCTCCTGCTCCTACGGATAGCCTCAGGGTGGGGAGCATGTTTCCTTTTCAGAAGCAAGATTCTTGGAGGACCTCTTGCTGCAATATAAGTATCTTATCTATCTATATCTATCTAAAAACAGCATCACACAGAATTATTTCAGTTATATGTCCTAATAGAAACAATTTTTCATAATCTTGGTGTATACATCACTTCTTCAGACAGGACTTCCCTGCCAAGAGTAATTAAGGTAGTGTATTCTTTCAAGAATTCTTTGGTTACTCTTTCATTTCACACTCTCACAACAAGTTTAACAATCTGAATTTTCTAATTTACTTATTTTTTATAGTCTCTTTCTCATACTAAAATATAAACTCTATTCTAGCAGATTCTTAGCTTGCCTTGTTCACTACTATTCACTACTATAGCCCCAGAGCCTTAGGACAATTCCTAACTTTTAATAAATAGTTGAATGAATTAATTAATTAAAGAAGCTAGTTTGGGGAGAGTTTCTGTCAAAAGAAACTGAAAGAATCAGATTAATGCATGTTTTCTTTTTCCAGCTG